TTAGTGTGATCCAACTTTAAAGAAAATGTGTATGTGTTTGTGCTTTAAAAAAAGGTCTGGAAGAAAACTATAAATATCTATTGGTAGGGGTATTAATTTACTTTCCTTTGCTTATCATCATTTTATACTTTTTCCTAGTGAACCTGTATTTATGACATTTGGAGGAGACTGTTTACTTGGTTAACTCTAAGTGATCTGGATTATATTCACACAGACCTAGGAGTAGGGAGAAGAAATGATTGGAGTGATCAGCAGGAACATGGTGGTAGGAGATAATGAAATTTAAAAAGCAAAACTTCCTTCCTGGGTGGAAAGTGGTAAAGAACTGGCAGATTGATTATTTTCCCATTTCCAGAGCCATGGAATTTCTTTATGATATGCTTAGCATCTCATATTAGTAGATGTATATTCCTCTAATTTAGTATTTCAGCTTAATTTTCTTTCTTTCTTTTTAGAATATTTTTTCTTTCTAGTTAATTGCTAATTAGTAAGCCACAGCAGTACTATAAGATGCGTACTACTTAATGCCCATTAGGCAGATTTGACCAAATTATTGGTAACATAATTTTTTTAAAAAGAGAAAATAGGCTTCTACCCACAATACCTCTTGTAAAGGCTCCTATCGAAAAATCAAAGGCAAGGGAAGTTTCTGAAGAAAGATATAACTATGATAATTAGATGATCAATTTGGAGTAAGACAAGAAACATTTCCAACATGCTGGGCTGTCTAAATTGGCTTAGAACCATTTAAGTATCACAAATAAAAATATTAGCATATTTTTAAAAATTTCTCTCTTTCAAAGAGAAGCTTGATTTCTGAAGCCAGAGAGAGCTTAGTTTAAATCTAGGTTTTTCAATTATTAGCCATGTGATCTTGGACAAATTTCTAAGCTTCTAATTTTCCTCATTATAAAATGGTGATAAGTATAGTCTGCCTCATAGGGTTGTTGAGAAAAATAAATGAGTAAATGAGTAAAACATCTAATTCATTGTCTGGTCCACAGAAAGATTTCGGTAAACATTAGTCATTGTTAATTATATGGGTGAAAGCGGGAGGTACATAGAATCTTGTGTAGATTTCAATTTCCTACCTCTATCTTGTGAAAAGGCTAGAAATGCCAACTTTGAAAAAAATTGAATTATACAGATATTGTACTTAAAGCCATCAGAGAGAGGAAAGAAAGGTGGCCTCCCTTTACTTCTTTCTCCATGGAAACCAGCCCTAGAAAACCTAAATGCACATTTTCTGATTTGGCTCCAAGAAAATAGCCCTTAATAGGGAAACCCAGGAAACCTAGGGAATAAACTCATCAGAGCAGCAGGCTTAGATGTTCCTTTTTATCATTTGAGTATTATGGGTTTTAGGCAGAAAATAGGCTGAATTATATACGGCCATTATTTTAGAAGTTACAAAAGAGATTTATTCTCCCCACTGGTAATTGGAAGCCATGAAATTTGCAGTTGTTAAAGTATCACATAAAATAAGACTAATTTTTTTCCCCATAGAATATTTCTTTCTGTTGCAAAGTGAGGTGGCTCTGCACGTAGGGGGCTCTCTTTTCCTCTCTCTTTAGTTGCACTAGGGAAGAAAATGAAATGTTAAAAAAAAAATGTGTCATTGCTCTTGCCCTTGATTGATTTCAAGTTCAAATATTTTGCCTGTGAATTACTCTGACCATATCTAGGCAATGCAATTCATTCTACCCCTGACTTAATCCCACTGGCTTAAACAGTGACATCACATGCTTTAAGCATCTTAATTAGGGTAGTAGCATGAGTAGTTTTCATTCTTCTATCATCTGCCAGCAACAGTGCAGCACTGCTTTAAGCATCTTAACTAATTAGGGTAGTAGCATGAGTAGTTTTCATTCTTCTATCATCTGCCAGCAACAGTGCAGCATCTAAGCTCCTGTTTTTGCTGGGTAGGAGGCTCTCCGAATGACAGCTCAGTCTGTTGCCTAAAACATTTTAATCTATTTTGCTTATGACAACATTTACTGAAGATACTTTAAAATTCACTCCTGTAAAATTTTAAACTAATTTCATATTTGATTCAAAGCTTCTCCACTAACCTTACCAGGCTAGATTCAGCCACCTCGGTGTGGAGATGGAAGACCAATCCAGCTTTCACTCACCTCTGTCTCCCTTTTCCTAGAAAGTACTATTTGTTTTAGGACATGAAAGAGGGATATTGAAGGCAGAGCAATCATAACAAGAATACACCACCCCCACTTCTAACAGCTGACATAGCTCATGGTCTGTGGCAGAGGTTGTCAATCCCGGCTGCATGGCAGAATTACCCAAAGATCTTTGAAACCACCAATGCCTGGGCTCCACCCTCAGAGATTCTGATGTAGTTGGGCTCTGTTGGGACTGGTAGTGTCTCCAGTAAGCCATGCTGACAGGAATCTCCCTCCCTTCCAGGCTGTACCCCTGGGCACTGGAGGGGCCCTTGTGAAGTGGGACCATATACTCTAGCTAACCCAACCCCACTCCCTGTTCCCCAAACACACACTCACTGCGTACCTCTATCTCCTGCTGTGGTGATCCCCCAGCAAGACCTGCCTCCAAATCATTAACCCTCCATGGCCACACTGGCTCTGTTAGATCAGGTACCAGGAGGCAAGTCCAATGACTAAACAGACATCTAACCAAGAATGGAATGCCAGGCATCTCTTCTTGCAGTCACCTCAAGAATTTGCAGATAATTCTTTTGAAATATGGATCACTTGCCTTAGGAGCAGAGGGAAAAGGGAGGAAGAATTCCCTCTTCCTTAATACTCCATGCTCCCTAAAGGCAACAGCTCTCCCTTTGTATTTTTGGGGGTGAACAAGAGGTAGGGCTAGTTCTGCTAAAATGGGGTCTATACAGGGATGGCTGCCTCCAACAATTGACGGGACCATATACTCTAGCTAACCCAACCCCACTCCCTGTTCCCCAAACACACACTCACTGCATACCTCTATCTCCTGCTGCCGTGATCCCCCAGCAAGACCTGCCTCCAAATCATTAACCCTCCATGGCCACACTGGCTCTGT